TATGTCCTTCGTCTTCTGTTAATTGTAACAAGGTCCGTACGGCTGAGAATGGTGCGACCTTCGTCCCGTAAGTGCCCGTTGTTGAATGACATGGCACCTCATTGAGCTGATTGTCCATCCAGAGTATCCGCTGTAACTCCCAGTCATCCTTGTGAATCTGAATCGGTCTGTCCATTTTGGTGATGTCCGTAGCGAAAATGTGACGATGTCTACGTATCCTAGGTAGAACATCTGAGATGTTCAGATGTAGCTTTGCTCCAGTGTACATGAGGTAGTTGACCGAGTAGCCTGATGTGGATGCGCTAGAGCCATTGAAAACCACCCGCAGTTTGTAATACTGGCCGGCTTGAGAACACCGTGATGTGTCAGGTGAAAATGTGAGCGATGACTGGAGATGAATGATGCCTTCGTAATGTGGTTGAGTGTCTCGTAATCAATCATGAATTGTTGATAGAGACGTTGATAATTCACATCCCTTGAGAATCGTCTGCGTAATCCCTTCAGACATTGATGAGCGACGTTGTAAGAATCACCCAAAAGATCGTCTGGTGAATTGAGTAGAATCCTGTCGATGTACCTCTCTGAAGAATCACGAGAGTGTGTAGTATTGAAGTGCTTCTCGCACCTCTGCTCGTCAGGAGTGAGCTGAGTGACATCGTGAGTAGGCACCTCCTCTTGATTCCAAAATTTCGTCAATAACTCAATAAGAGCATCCTCGTTGAATTGAGTAGCAGCATGCTGCGTTGACGTGCGTGTTGCTTCCCTATTGACTGGTCCAAGAACGAGCCATCCGAAAATGGAGAGTTGCGCTATCGGTATGAGTGGAGAATGCCGAATGATATTGGGCTTGATGATTTGCCCGTAAGCGTCTGCGCCGATGAGGATGTCAACTGGCCGCGGGATGAGAAAATCAGGATCGGTTAATGCCAAGGTCCTGAGATGCGGCCATTCTTCCGGTTCCGCCTCGAAAGATGGTAAGATTGATGTAACTGTCCGGAGGACATGAACTTGAATTGTGGCAGTTGAGTTGGAAGGTGTCGAGCGTAGCGTGAGTGGCACGACTCCTCGTGTCCGAGTACACTGCTTGCCTGTAATTCCAGTGACGACAATACTTGAGTAGACAATACTTGAGTGACAAGGGATGTTGAGGTGCCGGATGAGATTCTCCGTGACGAAGGTGAGTTCGGATCCTGCGTCCATGAGTAGACGCGCTGAGCGATGAGTGGTGGATGAGCTGCCACGGCTGTGGCGAGTAGAGTTGAGCAGGATGAGCGGACGTGTGAGCTGGTCTCGACGATTGCACCGTGTCTTCAGTTCGAGGGCGTGACCGACGAACCACAGGTTGATTGAGCGGACGAAGCTGACAGTGAGTGGCGGAGTACGCCGATGATGCGTTGCGCGTGCGTGTGGCACAGCGTTTCCTCCTGATGAGCGTTTCCCGAGAAATGCTCGTGATGAGTGAGCGCAGAGGGCCATGAGACCTCGAAGTAGGTGTTTTCCTTGAGAAACGCCTTGTGCGTCTCCTCAATTTGAAGCCAGAGCTGATTTATCTCTTCAATAGAAATCTCTGCAAGGGACTCCGGGAGAATTTCTGCAATGGCCTTGAGAGTAGAGATCCGACCCAGCTGCGTCCGCACCTTCAGGGCGAGTTCCGTGGAGAGCCGAGCCGGAGACGCCGTCCTCGAGGATAAGCGATCTCCCGGCCGCAGTTCCAGTTGCTGAGTCACCGGGCGGTCCGCCTTGCCCGTTTTATGATCGTCCGACATGGTGAGATGACACGTGAGAGAGCCGTGGTATTACACGATCGATGCGTGTCACCGTGTATATGAGCGCCGAGCGGAGATAATGAAGTCTCTCCACGTTTGAGCTGCTCGTTCGAGATGATCAGACTTGAGAAGAGATCTCGAAAGGCAGGTTATGCGGCATACTCCCCGGTGAACTTGGGGAGTGAGATGTCCGGCAAGCGAGGATCGTGAGATCACGTGATCAATGAGTGGGACCATATACGTGAGCGTCGCCGATCACGCGGAAGGGCCGTGAGATTACTTGGTCGCTGCGTAGG